CACTCTCTCATCTTATTTTCTTACAAAAGTGAGGTTGATGAAGTTACCGACATGTGTTAAGCATGTTATAGAATTATGTTGGATGTAATTTGATTAATTTTCTAGCTTTGATTGAACCAATAAGATTTATGTATTTTAAGTTATTTACTTTCATTTGGAATTATGAGATTGAATTATTGTAGCTTTGTGATGAAACTTTAACTTATTTGTGAGATTGATGTATTTTAAGTTATTGATTATCTTGAATTTTTATTATTATTTCAACAAAATTAACGTTAAATAAAAGTTCAAAATTAACATTGAATTTTTATTTTTAATATTTCAATGACATTAAAATATAAACTTAAAATTATTTGTAATATAATTTTTTAATTTCTTAAAAATTTTATAAATATTCATGGATATCCGTGGATATCTGTGGGTATTCAAGAAATTCATGGATACCCGCGCGGATATGAGGTGGGTATGTGGCCAATTTTCATTCAGCGGGGCGGGGGCATGTTTACTATTACCCGCCCCCATAGGGCCCCATTGCCATCCCTAAACCCTCCACCTTCACAAGCTAAGATTCCAACCCACAACCCACTTGAATTCAGTTATGAAGAAGAGTAGAAAAGAAATTCAAGTAAGGAAGAAGAAACAAAAGGATCTCTTTCTAGCTTCTCTATAGAGTTATAGAAAACATAAGTTATGCGCTTCCTTTAAAAAAATTTCCTTTTGCACCTTCTCTAAGTTGACTCAGATCAATGTAGTCTTAGAATCTCTTAGTCCAAGAATTCTCGATAACAATTATCAAATCAAGCAACAAAACTATGAGATGAAAATATTACAAAGTTAGGTTGAGTCACACTCTTAGAATAGTGGATTTAAGCCTAACTCAACCCTACAAAACCGGCTTGTAAGGTAAGGATTGCTTTCCACTTATATACTATTTAATTGCCTAATCTCTAATCGATGTGAGACTTGGGTTTTTCCCAATACAACCCCTCACGTCCAGTACTATTAGGCTTGGTACGTGGATAAATGGTGGGTGACCCTTTTTAATGATCTAAGATTGGCGGGACTTGAGTTTTTTCCAATACACCCCCTCATGCCTATGAGGCATGCATCAATGGTAGGTAACCCATTTAAAGTGGATCTAAATGGCTCTGATACCATCTTAGAATAGTAAATTTAAGTCTAATTCAACCCTACAAAATCGGTTACTTTCCACTTATATACTATTTAATTGCCTAATCTCTAGTCAATGTGGGACTTGAGTTTTTCCCAATACACAAATTAAAAAAAAACACAAAACACATTATTTAATCCATTCGGTACAAAGATTTGATCCAGATTGAATTAGACTCCAATACTAAAAAAAATAAAATCAACTCAAACTCATTAAACATGTTATCCAGTTACATCTCTAACGATTACAAACTTACCCAGTTTGACATCCATGCGTAAAGAAATGCGTCAGCAACCATGCGCCGACGGCACAGGAGTGGTAAAAAGCAGGGCATTTCTGTCATTTCGCTCTTATCCAAAATTCCCTTCAACCAACCTCACCTGCAACAACGTAACGCACTCATAAATATGCAACGCACCCTTTCCTTCACACAACAATGGAAACTCACTGTGGTGCTCACTGGAGTGCGTTTTTTCCCCTACTCTTTCTCTCTCTCTTCTCCACCGTCGGATCATCGTCCCCCGCTGCTCCAGCATCGTCCGCCATACGATTCAGACTGGCGCCAGGGGCCGCGGAGAGGCAGGTTCCGATGCGGGCGGGTGCACCCTTCAAGATTGCGGTGTTCGCGGACCTGCATTTTGGGGAGAACGCGTGGACCGAGTGGGGCCCACGCCAAGACGTAAATTCCATCAGGGTCATGAATACGGTGCTCCATCACGAAAATCCAGGTCAAGTTTCATTGCTTCTAACTTCTAACTTACTACGTGGTTAATGGTTCCTCCCTCATAAATTCTTTTACAAGCCTTAAAATAAAATAATAAATAGATGAATGAGAAAAATAATCTTAAAATTAATGTTTTTATTAAAAATATACAACATAATAATAACTTTTAAAAAAATGTAATGATGAGTATAAATAAAAATAGATAATTAATATTACATTAAAAAAATTAAAATAATACTCTTGTGTCTCATAATAATGACAATTTTAATATTTAAAAAATATTTGAAAATGAATTAAGTTATCATTTTTTAATTTATTATTAATTAATTTTTTTTCTTCTAATTTTCCTCCTAATAGAAGCTAACTAATTTAATAAAATTGTATTTTATATATTTATTGTCATTTTTAATATTTATATAAAAACTTTAAATTATAATAATTGTGAAAAGATGGAAGTACTTATTTTAAAATTTAGTTTTTCCTTAAATACAACATTTATTATGAGAGAAATTATCTCATTACATATATGTTAATTCTTATTAGAGCATCACAATACAAGTTGTTTGACTACTTATTTTACTTTATTAAGTTCTTCATTATCACATTACTTCTAACTAATCCATTTAATTTTCACTCTAATACAAAATCTTATATTAAAAAAAATCTTTATTCACAAATATTTTTCTCACTTCAATATGTCATATTCTCTTTTTGCACTAATATACACACAAAATGATAAACAACTATGTTTATCCTATTTTAATATTATAGAGAGAATAAGAGATGCATGTTAATAATCCTCTCATATAATAAGGGATGTAAACCATGCTTGCACATGAAACTTACTAAAATACACTCATTTATAGAAAAAAAAAAAAAACGTATTAGCAAATTATAAATTTAGTTTTCTTAAAATACACCAAAATTAAAATTTGTAGGTTTTAGAAGTAATATGTTAATAAATTATAACATTAATTTTTTAAAATAAATTAAAATATAACTCCTTAAATAAAATCAAGTATCTTTCTCCCTGATAAAAGTGGGTATAGGCTGAAATATACGAAATTATTGTGGTTGGAGAATTGAAGTCTTTCATGGGAGTTGGTTGCAAGTACAGCCTCGTTTTATTAGAAATAATATAACGTAAACTCTGAGAGCAGTGTTTTTCAAAACCCAATCTGAAAACCAAAAACTGATCCAAAAATTGAAAACTGATGAACAAATTGAATACATGCTGTTTGGTTCAATTTTTTGTTTTATCAAAACCCTCGGATTATAAAATCAAGTCAAATCAAATCCAATTGCAACTTATATATGAATATATTCTTTTTTCTCAAATATATGTAGGGTGAGAAAGAAAGAAAAAAACAAACTTACACATTCATTTTTTTTTTCTAGTTAACGTTAATATAATTTATGTTTATTGTTCTTCCCAACCAACCAAAAATACTAGAAATGTTATACTTAACTTATATATCAAGAAAATTAATTAAATGAGTTAATCATCTATACACTGTCAGTGTAAAGTTTTTTTACGCCGACAACCAATTATATCTCTTAATTGTGTCATGTGACACAATTAAGAGATATAATTAGTTGTCAGTGTAAAATTTTTTTACACCGGAAGTGTATAGATGATTAACTCTAATTAAATAATCAATAAATCATGTTTTAGGAATAGGCAAAATTTATTCCATGAATTTTGTTTTTTAAGTAGGAAATAGAAAATTAAAGCTTTATAGCATATGTCTTTTACGGTCACACTTGATAATGAATCAAGATTATATATTATTATCAAACTCATTAATGTGGTAATATAGAAAATTATGATTTATTTATAATATAATATTATATTTTAGTTGATTTTTTAAATAATATATTTTTAAAACTTTAAAAATTAAATCAAACTAAGTTCTAAAAGACGAGTTTGATTCGATTGAAATTTCGTTATACATTCAGACTGAATCACATTTAGTTTCTTTTGTTTGATTCCGATAACTTTTAAATAAAAATCGAATTAAAGCGAACACTAACGCGAAGCATATAGGAATAAACTACTATTCTATTTTAGTAAGATTGGGTTGGAGAGAAGAAAGAAAAAGGTAGAAATAAAATACTGTGAAAAAAAGGGATAAATGTGATAAATATTCTATTTTAAAACTAAAGTATCTCTTAACTGAAAATTAAGAATTAATCCTCCGAGTTACTAAGATTCATTTGAAGAGTGGACTCCTCTCATCTTTTCGACACAAATTGATCAGAAATCGAACTCCTTTTTACATCCTTGAGGGCCAAACTATCTACCAACTATATCACACTTTTCTGGTATAACAATAGCATAATTTAACAAATATAATATGAATATTTGTTAAACATATGTTCCTTGCTAATATGTGATCAGGTAATAGCCAATAAGTCTAAGACAGAAGAAATAAAAAGACAGTTCTCATGCTCAGATAGTTACATAAATAGCAAGGGATAGGAACTCAGAAATTGTAAGCTTACATCGATTTATTTTTATTTTTTTCTAACGGCATGGAGGTATAACGAATTTTTTCATAAGACATGAAATTTAACCAAATTTATGAATGCCATTGAAAAGAAATACTACATATACTTCATTGAGGCAATGGATAATTTTCTTTTGAAGTGTCATGATCTTCAAATTCCATTCAAAATACTAATGATGTTAACTGTATGACAGATTTTGTAATATATCTCGGTGATGTCATCACGGCTAACAATATAATGATTGCAAATGCAAGCTTGTATTGGGATCAGGCAATCTCCCCAACAAGAAATAGAGGCATACCGTGGGCCAGTGTATTTGGAAACCATGATGATGCTGCATTTGAGTGGCCATTAGAGTGGTTCTCTGCACCTGGAATTCCTCCAATTCACTGCCCTCAAACTGCAACTTCTTATTCAGGTACCAAGTATTACAGTAATAGATGTGAAGGATGTAATTGTTATGGTTACGTATATTTTGCTTTTGGAATGGAGTAGAAGATTTAGTCAGAGAATAGAAGATACCTCATTTTTTGATGCATTCCTTATTAGGAAAAACTCAAGTCCCACGTCGACTAGAGATTAGGCAATTAAATAATATATAAGTGGAAAACAATCCTCACTTTATAAGCTGGTTTTGTAGGGTTGAGTTAGATTTAAATTCACTATTCTAAGATGGTATCAAAGTCATTTAGATCTACTTTAAATGAGACACCTACCATTGATACATATGTCATGGGCATGAAGAGATGTATTCAAGTCCCGTAAAGTTAAAAAGAGGGCCACCTATTCTAAGATTCTTGGCAGCAGGTTGTCAATTAATTGCTTGATTGCGAAAGCTTCCAAGAATATTTTTATGATCAGCTTTTTCGAAACCAATGAAAATGTTTTCTACTATAATTACTTCCTTCATCAAACAATGAACATAGATAGTTGGAGATCTCATGGCGACTAATGATATTGTCACATTAAAGTATGTATGTGGAGATATTTATAACCTTACAAGTCAATTTTGTAAAGTTGAATTAAATACTAGCTGATTTTTATAAGATTTAGTTAAGCCCAAATCTACTTTCTTAAAATTGTATTAAAAGCTTATTCTAGTGATTATTATTGGACTTGTCATGCCACTTGCTATTGGACTATTATTAAATCATCTATAGATGTTCAATTCTACAAACTTCACACTAGAGATATCTAGTTCTCGATTCTCATCTACTAGTGGTATGACCATATTAGAGTTTATAAACTTTACAAGCCAATATCTATCACTCTTGGGACGAATGCAGTAGAGGTACGTAGTTGAGCTAGTTGAGAACTGAAGTTGGGGGAGATTTATGAAGAAGCAAGTGGTAAACCTCGTGTACACGGATCAAGAGTTAAAAAACCTATTCATTGAAATGGATTTCAATTGCTATTAGTTATCGTGCCTATTTTGGAACATAAGGTCTTTTTCTATTTCACTTATATTATTGTATTATAGTCCTTTTCAACATGGAACTTTTATCTTGTATTTGCTGAGTATACTTTTCGCTTCATTATATCTCTCACACTCTTCTCATAAGAAAAGTGTTTGAAATATCTTCAGTGAAAGTTATATTTTAAATTCCAGGAGAAGAATGTAGCTTCAAAGGAACAGGACGATTGGGCCTAATGACAAATGAGATCAAGAACAATGGATCATTTTCTAGCTATGGCCCTAGAAATCTTTGGCCAAGTGTATCCAACTATGTCCTTGAAGTTTCATCACCAGATGATCAGCAATCACCAGTGGCTTTCCTTTACTTCCTCGATTCTGGTGGTGGTTCCTATCCAGAAGTCATATCTAGTAGCCAGGTAGAATGGTTTAGGCAGAAAGCTGAAGAAATTAACCCTGACTCAAGGTAGAATGAGAATGCTTTAAACCAGAAGTTATTTTGCTTTTAAAGTTAAACGCATCCAACAGCAAGAAAATTTTATATAAATCAACTTCTTAATAAACACTCGAGAGAAGAAAACGAGGTGAAATAAATCAAACTTCTCTCACTAGTGAATGTAACGAAACTTCTCTCACATTTCCTAGAAGCTTTCTCATGAATCTTCTCCAAAAGTTGAAGGGTATAACTTGAATTTAACACGAGAGAAGTTTGGTTCATTTTTGCCCCATGTTTCTTCTTCTTCTTTAAGTGCTTATACAGAAGTTTATCCAAACTAGGCCTTTGTTGATTTCTTATGCGTTATTCAATTAAGCAAGTAAAACATGTTGGAAAAAAAAAGTGTTTTCTTGCTTAATCCAAACAAAACATATTGCATGACAGGGTTCCGGAGATTGTTTTCTGGCATATTCCAAGTACAGCTTATAAGGTGGTGGCTCCAAAATCTGGCATAGAAAAGCCTTGCGTAGGTTCAATCAACAAGGAAGATGTTGCTGCTCAAGAAGTTGAAACCGGTATCATGGATCTTCTTGCGAACAGAACTTCTGTCCAGGTAAAGTCAAAGCCAGCCTCCTATATTTGTCATATCCTCAAGAACTATCTGCAGAACAAAAATCAAATCCACAAGACCCCACTTGTTAGGTTTGAAGTTTGAACCACCAGATGTGTTTGTTTGATGACTAAGTTTTGATTTCCATGATGGATGCAAGGAAACTGTTTGTTTGTCAAATGTATTTATTGGGAAATTGTGTGAAGCATGAAGGTTTTAAAAAGAGATTTTCAAAGTATTTTATCAGTGTGTTAGACCCTTATAATTCTGTTAGAGATTTAGGAAAGATGGGGATATAGTAATGAGTTTGTACTCAGACACTTAATGACTAGGTTTCTTCTCACCCATGGATATAGATGAAGGCTGTTGTCTAAAACATATTTGATGCACCTTCTGTTTGATTATTGATTTTACTTTGTGGTAGGTATTTTTAAAGATGTGGTAGTATCAATTAATTAACTTGAATGCCTAGGTGGCCATCGTAAGTGTACTGCATAACTAGAACTAGGAGGGGAGTTGGATCCTACTTTGACATCAATAGAAAAATGGTCTTATTTGTGAAAAATATGCTAGTTACCCCTCTCTACAAAACACACATCACATCTTTAGAAGATTTAAAGAGTTGATGTGTGCAGAAATGAGCGATATGACAGTAGTTATAATCAGATATTGAAGTTAGGTAGACATAAGGTGATTTGTGATATATAAGATCTGTTTTGGTGAGTTCAGCTGTTTTACCAGTTCAAACTCAAATGCTTGATTATTTCCGACCCGGACAATTTTAGGGGTCTACAGGGAAAACCCGTATTTAACGGGTTCGGGTTCGAATTTTTCCCGCTTGATAAAATTGGCGGTGGGGGCGGGGACGGGGACGGGGATGGGTACCCAAATTTTACCCCCAACGGCTATCAGGGGCAATTTAAATCTATGAGGAACATAAAACCCAGCCCCCGCCCCACCCCACCCCATTGCCATGCCTATTCAACCCCCATTCTAGTGTGTATCCTTTTCTCCAATAGAACCCATTAAGAGGCTTCTTAAGACATTGAGCATAAGTGGATTGGAAATCTAGATCATGCACATATAGTTCCTTAATGTTATCAAAGCCAAGTATTTGAGAACCAAGGGTAGAGAGTAAAGTATGTCTCCTAGATAGAGTATCAATCACAACATTACTTTTTCCCTTCTTATGTTTGATAACATAGAGGAATTATTCTAAAAATTCCACCCACTTAGCATGTCTTTTATTCAACTTTCCTTGCCCTCTAAGGTATTTTAGTGACTCATGGTGAATATGTATAATGAACTCCTCAGTCACTAAGTAGTGTTCCCAAGTTTTAAGGTCTCTAATGAGAGCATAAAGTTATTTTTCATAGATGGGATAGTTTAAGGAAACTCCATGAAGTTTTTTACTAAAATATGAAATGGGATGGCCATCTTGAAGTAACATGGAACCTATTGCTACTCCAAAATCAACACATTCTAGCTTAAAGGTTTGAGAAAAGTTAGGAAGAGCTAGAATGGGTGCATGAGTAAGTTTATCTTTAAGCTTTCAAATGATTTTTGTTGTTTGTCACCCTAAATTAAAGGCACGTCCTTCTTAACAAGCTTGTTAAGAAAAGATGCAAGTGTAGAGAAATCCTTAAAAAATATTTTATAGAAGCTAGCTTGACCATGGAAACTCTTAATTTATTCTACACTTGTTGGGGTGAGTCATTCTTGGATAGCTCTTATTTCCTTAGGGTCAACATGCAAACCATCTTTGCCAACTATGAACCCTAGAAAGTTCACATTCTCTTTGCAAAAAGTATATTTTTTCAAGTTGGCATAGAGGTGGTTGCCCCTAAGAATAAATAAGACTTGCCTTAGGTGTTCAAGATGCTCACCTAGGTTTTTACTATAAATTAAAATGTCATAAAAGTAGACAACAACAAACTTGCCTATACAATCCTTAAGGACATGATTCATTAGACATACAATAGTGCTAGGTGCATTTGTTAAGCCAGAAGTCATAACCAACCAATCATAAAGTCCAAATTTGATTTTAAAAGCAGTTTTTCATTCATCTCCTTCACGAATCCTTATTTGATGATAACCAATTTTAAGATCAATTTTGAAAAATATGCATGCACCATGAAGTTCATCTAACATGTCATCAAGCCTAGGGATAGGGTGCCTATACTTGATAGTAATGTTAAAGCTAGGTATTATTTGAATTTTGTTCTCTTATCTAGGCTTATGTTGCCTAGGAGGTCTTTGATAATAGTCATCATAGAGATGAATACCATAGGACCCTTCACTTTGAGTGTTATGGGTGAAATTAGGTTGGCTCTTAGGTTTTTCTTCCTCAAATTTACTCTTAGTTTTTTCAACCCATTTACCTTTAATTATCCTATAAGCCCTTCACTATCATGGCCTTTAGGCTTACTAGTTTCATCCTCCCACCATAAGTTTAGCCAATAAATCTCTTATGGCTTCATTATTTTTTCTATTTTCCTCTTCCTTTATTTTATTTTTCTCGTCTCTTTTTAGAACATATTTTCTAAGTTCCCTAATTTATTCTCTAGTGTTACTCCTACTCCTATGTGAGTTTTGACAATGCACACTACTATTATGAGATGGATGATCACTCATTTTTTATCAAGAAAAGTTTTTCACAAAATTTTGAAAATGGTTCACAAAAATGGAATGATAAAACTTTCCACGAATTGATGGAGGACCATCCTTGAAGACCATAGGACCTTTGACAAGACCTATGGTTAGGAGGCTAGAAGAAGTTACTAGAGATGATGTGTTCTTAGATTTTTTCTTATCATGAGCATAGAATATGTGATTCCTTCCTAGTTACCTAATCTTCTATTGTATATACTTTGTTTCATTCCTTTGTATGTAGTAGTTAGATGTATAGGTTGTTTTTACCCTTGTATTTAGGGTTGTATGCTTTTCTTGTTTGTAGGTCATGCCTTTAGGATTTAGAGGCATGTTCCTTATTGAAATGTATTTCTTTTGACCTTGTATTCATGGTCATCATTTTTAGTTTTGTTGAGTTTTAATAGTTGGAATGGAAATAATCATTTTAGTGGTGTGGCAATAGTTATTCTAAATGGTGTGGAAGTAGTAAATGTGTGGAAATAGTCAAAAGTGATATTGGGCTTATTTTTCTTTTCTTTTCCTAAGGAATTGATTTGGCTTGGTTTAACCTTCACTTGGTTAACCAAAGCAAACCAATTCCTTGGTTTTTGGTTTGGCCAAAACAAGCCCAAAGCCACCTTGGCTGCCCATTTTGGATACCTTCTCACCTTGGAACTACTTCTCCAACCACCTAAAGATAAAAGGACACTTGCCACTTGCTCGTTGGTTGTTCTAGATCTAGATGTCTCCTACATGTCTCAAACATGTCTCCTAGAACATGTTTGTGATTGGTGGATCTAGATCTAAGTATCTCATTGTCTCCTAGATGTCTAGCTTCTTCTCCAAACTACCTAAGCTATATAAATAGGTGTTTGGAATAATTTGCACTTAGTTTTTGAGTATTATTAAATTTGGCTAAGATTTCTCTCATGATTTCTTTCTCTTAAAAGCTTAAAATCTCTCTTTGATTTGCTTCAATTTCTCTTATCCTCTTCCTAAGAGTGTGGTGAGATTTAAAGTGGTTGATCTTCTTCTTTGAAATGGTACCACTTGAAGAAAGTTCTTCACCATTGAAGGTGAATCAAGAGTTCTTCAACTCCATTGGAGAGCTCTTTCAAGCTTAAGAAGTTTCAAGAAGTCAAGGGTTTAGGAAGAAACTTGAAGGATAAGCTACATCAATCTAGTTCCTCCTTGAGGTTTCCATCACAAATGGTTTTAGTAGTGAGTGTGTGCACAAACCCTTATTAAGATAAAAACAAACAAGCATTCTAACCTTTTCTTAACCTAATCCGTGACTCCTAAGTGATATATAAGCCTTTGGAACTTATATTCACTACTATACCGAAAGCAATAAAAGGAAATTAAAGGCTTGAAAGATATAAAATGCATGAAAGAAATAAATACAAAAAAATACAAATAGTGGAAATCTTAAGGAGGCACTTGGAATCTCAATAAGACCACTTCCAAAATGAATGGCCAAGTTTTACACAAAATGAAACATGAAAAAAAGATATTATTCTTGAACTTCTCTCAAGTGTTTACTCTCTTAATGTTTGATGTAGCTTTTCAAGTCTCTAATTGTCCATAATAGAGTTGTCCCTCCTAGACTTTCCACAACAACCTAAGATGCTACCTTGTGAAATAAGGCTTTCTCCACTTACAAAGAAGCACAAAGCAAATCAAATCTCCAACACACCAAGAGAGTTAATGAGAGAAGACTAGAAAAGAAAAATTAGAAGCAAAACTCAAGTAGAAAGAGATGTTGACATAAAGATATTTAAAAAATGGACTAAAACTAGAATTAAAGTTTTCAAAGAAAGCTAGCACTCAAAGAGAAATGTCCTAGAAAGGTTCTAGAGTGGGTTAAGAAAACTAAAATGAGGAATAAGGAAAAAAAATAAGAATTAGAGTAAAACGTTTTCTCTCAAAGAAGGTAGTTGCAAAAATCAATTGATATTTAAATTTTCTATTAGCTTTTACTCGACTTTATCTTCCAAATGTTTGTGTCTGTGTGCGTGTGTGTATTTTATACAATTTGAATTTGAATTTCTTTTTTTTAACTAAGGAGCTTTTCAGCCTCTTTCTTTTAATTCAATAGAAATCAAATTGAAATTACAATTACTAGTATTTTAGATTCAAATTTAAATTTCCAAGTGAAAAGAATTAATTAAAATCTTTGTGCACTTAGATTGAAAGAATCTCAAGATTAATTTTCACTTAGTGTGTGTCACACTTCAATTTTGAATTTCAAAATTCAAATTCACAAGGAATAGGTCTCCTAAACTTTGAAACCAAAAATTTTGAACAAATGAAATTGGAGGGAGATTTGAATTTTTGGAGGCAAATGAAATTTTATTTTTTTAAAAAAAATTATAGAAACATAATTGTATGAATCCACTATTGATATAGTAATGGATATGAACTCAAATATGTAAAATAAAAAGCACCAAACAAGGTCACAATATATTCACCTAAATCAAAAAGAAAAGCAAACAATAACACTAAAATTAAGTTAAACTAGTTACCACTTGAATTTATAACATCTAAAGAACTAAACAAGACTTACTAGACAATTTGAAGATTCAAAAATCAAAATCATGCAATTAAAAGCAAAATGACTGAATCAAATAAGAACAAGACTCAAACAAATGAAAATTAAGCATAAGATAAGAAACCTAGTAAAGCATAAGATTGAGAAATTAAGGAATTCAGTCTAGAACGTGTAGATCCATCCAAATTCAAGAAAAAATGTAGATCTACCTCAACAATACTCAACCAAGACATATAAGAACATTTTAAAAAAAATTTAAACAATGAAAAGAAAGAATAAACCTCAAGGAAGCCAAACATGGCTAATGATACCAAAATGATGGAAGCTAGTCGAAGGATGAAGCATGATTCGCTCTCCAATGGCTTCCTAAGACCTTGATCTTTTTCCTTGAGCTTCAAGAATGAATTCCACCAAACAAAATAAATGAAAATAAGAGTACAAGAAGGAAGAGTGGAGGTTGGCATGCCAAAAGCTTCAAAAAAATGAAGCAAGAACCCTAATCCACAAGGAAGGTTTCTTTGTGGAAAGTTCTTAAGGAGATCGTTCTCCAATGAGACAATTGAGAAAATTTAGAGAGAGGTTTCTGAATTCTAATTCTCATATACCAAAAGTGAGAGCAAATACAAGGGATAAGGCTTATATAGAGAAATAGGAGACATAATAGGCCAATTTTGAAAGTTAGAGCCAAAACCAATTTGAATTTCAAATTGGTTAGGCCAAAATTTTCAAGGAGGGATCACACATGCTTTTAATCTCTTATGCATGAACCTAAATGTGATTTAGAGTTCATTTGCATTTTATTTGAGCATGCTTTGGACGTATGACTCAAATGTAATGCAAATGAGCTCTAAATTACATTTAACTTCAAATACAAATTACATAAACCTTTGAAGTACTATACTAGATAGCCTATGTATACAAGGCCTGTAAATCCTATACAATAAATTATAAAATAAAAAACCCAACAAAACAAGGCCATTATTGGCCATATAAAGTCCACAACCCAATAAGCCTAGAAATAGACCCATCAAGGCTTAAGGCCAAAAATACAAGGCCACAAATATAATTCCTATTACATATTATACTAATATAATATGAAAGAATATGGGCTTCATGAAGTAGCCCAAGTAAGAAGGAGCTTGGGCCCACCAATCTCTATGCTAACGCAATCTTGAGTACTTCTAGCCATGGACCTTATGATTGGCCTAATGTGTATCTTCATGGGTGGTCCTCCATCAAAACATGAAAGTACAAGTTTGTGCTATAAAGTTTGCACACTTGAATTGTTTCTATTCCTAGCTATATTTAAAGTTTGGAGGTGCAAAAAAAGTTCAATGAATGTTTGAGGTATGAGTTAAAGAAAGTGGTGGCTCCTATGGTCATCACTGAGTTTCTTGCCTTGGTGGGGAGGGAAAAAACAATTAAGAGGTTGGAATATGGTAACAAGGTGGTGAAGGTGCATGAAGGGCTAGTTGAGTCTATGAAAAGTGGTCAATAGAGGAGACCTCCTCAACAAGAAGGAAGTTTTGTTGTAAGGGGATCTCCAATGACACCTCAAGGTGGAGTTCCCAATATCATATGTTTAAGATGTGGGGGTGCACACTTGATTAGAGTTTTTTTTTTCAAAAAAGTTTAAGTGTTTTCAATGTGGTAAGATAGGCCACATGGCTAAGGATTATACAATGAAGGCTAATCAACCCAGAGATGCATCAAGGGCGGTGGAGCGATCTACTGCTGTAGGTCGGGTGTTTGCTTTGACAAGAGTTAAGGCTTCCACTTCTTTTGACATTGTGAAGGGAAAGGGAAAGGTTGTTGATAAGGAGGTTACTATTTTGTTTGACTCGAGTGCTACGCATTTGTTTATATTTGTTGCTTGTGTAAAAAAGTTGAAGTTATCTATTGGTTCCTATTGAGTTGATTTGCTAGTGCCTACTCTTATTTTTGCTTTTGTAATGATTTCTAAGGTGTGTCTAAGATGTTCAATGAAAATGTAGGGTCGTTGTTACAAGGTGAATCTAATTTGATTGTTTTTGGTAAAGTTATATATTATCTTGGGAATAGATTGATTATTTGTTAATCATGTCCTTATAAAATTGTGCAAGGAGAAAATTGATCTTTCCTAAAGTTGAAAAGTATGGACCGGTATCTATTAAGCAAGTAAATGATCTCCTGAGGGAGGTAGTCTAGTGTTATGTTGTCTTCTCTTCCTTGAGTCTTAAGATTGAGAAATTGATTGGTGTAGTTGATGTGATCAGAGTTTCTTAAAGTGTTTCTTGATGAAGCACGAGGGTTACCAAATGGAATACCTCCCTCCAAAGGACCAAAGGGTCATGGCTAGAAGGATCCATGAAGCTTTTAATGTTATATGAATCCTTCAAACAATTGATACTCAATTTGATGAGCTCTCTAAGCTGTATCTTGCTCAAAAGACTCAAACTTTTAAGACACCTTTATTATTTCAAGATTCATCCATGAAAATTGTTGAACGAAGGTTGGAAAATCTTTGGAAATGATAAAAACAAAGGTACAATGAGTTCAAAATAGGGAAAGGTTTTATTCCTCAAAGTATAATTTAAGGACAAAGAAAAGTACAAATGCAGTTGAAATTTAGAGCAATGATGGCCATTTCTCAACCGATTCCCCCTTAAACTAGTCTGTCAGTTTTAATAACCATTATCGAGAGTAAGTACTACACCCTGTCTAAAAAAATTTTCAAGCAGTTTACCTGGATTCAAACCCAACCTAATTTTATGGGTCAGTGAATTTTTCTAGCTCCTGTGGGCTTCCAATATGCTCGTTTGCATGGAACAAAAATAAACAATCAAATTAGTTTCAAGCGTAATTGATCGACTTAGATGCAGTGTCAGACTCATCCATGTACCCCCGTAATACGAAATGATCCATATCAAGAAAAGCCGATTACATGACAGCAAAAAATAACTCAACTTTTGCATGCGGGTCCATCGCTTGGACAGCATTACTCAATGGTGTTGCACCAGAGTCAAGAAATTCATACATTGTATGTTGTCTCGCTCCCAACGAGTATTCAAATTTGGGAGGGTTTAAAAAATGATGCTATTGACGGCAAGAAATGACAACTAAAAAAGGAACTTCCATTTTTCATGAACAGTTCAGTTACATCCGAAACAGAATGCTCTAATGAGTAATGACATATAACTTGTTAAAAATATGGATGGTAATATTTTGCTCTACAATTCAAGGGCTGCAAAGGTTCTTTAAATCCTCCTCCTTGGCATACCAATTTGGTATTATTTTTGAAACATGGGGATAGAGATCCTTGTAGGAGTTCCTAATCGTTCCTTCAGCAACACCTGTAGCAATCGATATATCTGCATAGAGACTCTTAAGATGTCAGAATCAGATACATGAATGAAATAGCATGACAGTAAGCAGAATTGACGTAGATAACAACGTATGATATTGAAGAGACAAACAAAAAACCCATAAAGATATTTTGTCCTCCATGCCTTCTCCAACCCTCACATTACACGTTACCCTCATCTAACGAATTGAAGTGTCACAAACCTTTGAGAGGTTTCTTATCATCAGAAAGTTGAGTTATGATATATATAACTGCTGCAGCAATTGATATGGGACTCCTCCTGACAAATTAAAGAAAGATGTTATTAATATCGATCATCAGAAAATAATTGCACACCTCAGGAGATGATGAAAGCTAAATCAAGTTGGAGAAACAAAGCAATTATTTTGGCAATTAAAATCCAAATCAAGTATGTTATTAATATTGATCATCAGAAAATAATTGCATATATCTGATGATGAAAGCTAAAACAAGTTGGGAATGGATTATACATGCAGAGGAAAATGTAATTATTTTGGCCATTAAAATCCAATCAATGACGTTATTAATATCTCAATCATCAGAAAATAATTGCATATCTTTGAAGATCATGAAAGCTAAAACTATAGTTAAAGTAGATTACACATGCAGAGGACAATGTAACTGCTTTGGCCATAAAATCCAAATCAAGTTGATATACACTATATGGTATAAACAACCCCCAGTTCTGACTTCTTAGATGAATGTTACATCCTCCTCAGAGTTTCCACTTTATGCTAAAACACATGCTATTTTTGTATAGCACCTGAAGAGCTTCCACTTCTTACACACATGCCACCAATTCCTCTGTCTACTTGTCACCCAGCACACATCACGCAAAACCTGCAGGTTTCTAATCCATAATCTAACCTTTCACTTTGTTCTCCAAGGAAAACATGGGAAGTTTGATACTTTGTCTAATCAGCAATCTAAATCTAGATAATTTATAGTACCCTATGTTTAAGCTAATATCCTAAATTAAAAGTATCACTAACACACTAGTGTGTCAAGTTTTGGAACCAAGTTTCCTTTTCCAGCAAAACTAAAAGAAGTTTTCGGCAGTAACTGCACATTTATATTATTATTTAATTGTAATCAATATGACAATCCAGACTTCAGCAGTGTATAATCTATTAGTCTATAAGAAGATATGAGCAAAAACTAAATATACCTTATATCAAATTCTTCTGATTTCTGCACAGCTTCCTGAGCAGCTTTAACAGCTTGATTATTCATACCAAGATTAGAACAGAATCGCCTCTAAAGTTTTAGATGAAATATTGTCAGTAGCATTAATGAAATCTAGTCAAATTTTTGACAAATTAACTTCACACACGGATCAAAATAACAATATATACTTGAAGTGGATAAAGAAAACTCACCATAAAGTCCCCTGCATGTATGGTACCCATCTCCACAGACTGCCCATTCTCCAAACCCAGTTGTTTTACAATGTATTCTTTTGCTCGGCCAATTTCCTTCTTTGTGGCCCCATTGGCAACAGAGCAAATTTCTAGTTGAAATCCATAGGTTCAGGGAAGCTCATTTACATAGAGAAAGATAAATTGGGAAGCATCCAGATGTTAAAAGAATCATAAGCAGTACCCTTTACAGTACGAGGTTTGTCTTCTTGTCGGCAAGCAATGTAGAGACAAGCAGCCAATAAAGCATCTTGATTTCTTCCTCTACTAGACTTTTGATCTTCAACCCTCTTATATATCTCATTTGCTCGATCCTTCAAACCAATTGTAAACAACAACATAAGTGAATATACTCAATTTACATGAAAACTAAAGTAGAATATAAGAAAGAAAAATTAAAAATAAAGGTTTCAAGATAAAATCAACACAATGGTAGGAATATAAACTTGGTTCTGAGAAGCTTTACAGGATATGAGGGCTGCCAAAACCTGATCTAGTCCTTTCTCCACATGAATTGGCAAATAACCATACTTATTACTTTGTAAATATCCTTATTTCAAACAGCATGCCCACACAAGTCAAAGTGATACAATGTATAAACTTAAGTTTCAATCTACTCATTTTTCCAAAAGAAAACTTATTTTGGGCTCCTGGTACTTCTGTAACATGGATCAAGCATCATGTACAAGGTGCCCATGAAATGACCCTGGCCTTAGAAGATTTTAATGCGTTGAAGCAAGAGGTGCCACAAAGCATACACCTCATTAAGGAAAGAAGTGTTAACACTACAGAGAGAAGAAGGCAATTTGCAATATATTTTAACTACTCAAGATTAACATTAAAAGTAAAATATAATTTATGTTTAAATATAACATTAACCTTACACCCTACAGCTTCCATCCATCTGGACTTTGGTTACTGCTGTTTTTATATGCTACCAAACCCAATAGAATTCAACTACATTGATCACAATTTCTCCAGGGAATTAGAGAAGGCAAAGTAAAACAATCCACAGTGAGTGTAGAATTACAACGTCTTATCAAACAACAATGTGATCCAATACTGATTTTAACAAAAATCTGAATTATATAATTAGTTGGACAGTACAATTTCAATGTTTCAATAAATTTTGCATTTAAGTTGGAACTTGCAAGCCTAAGCCAATAACAATTTGATGCAGACAAATATAAGCAGGTTAACAAAACTAGTTCTGTAATCAAACCAGACACAAAATAAGGAATGCCAACTAATGTCCTATTACAAACAGTACAACTGCTTATTGTTTAATCAGAATAGCCTTCAAAACTTACAGCCACACAGCTTATGGCACGGTACCTCCCTTATGCACCAACTTCCCTAACCTCCACACAAATTTGGCTTGCCATTCATTTGGACACGATACAAACTCAGTAAGTTTTCCATTCGAGATCCCAACCTCAATCCTAATCACAACAATCATATGCAGTGGATACAAATATATGCAGTTTCATGACTCTCCCAGTTTCTCTTTTTAACTTATTTCACTAAATTTCACAGTGAATCTTATCAAAATAACTTCGTTCGATTAACACATTTTCACTAATATGATGCAATCTCCCAGCCTCCGACAAAATAAGCCCCCATTAAATAATAAGCTATTACCTTATGTTCCCTGACCAAAGACTGTAATTCAATCTCAGACTCAGACACGGAGGCATAACTAAATGTATCACTTTATCCCTAAAATGGATGGACCTATAGGAGGGAGTTATACCTCCCAATTATACCAAATAATAATAATAATAATAAGATGTTGTATACCCAGATGCGCTCTTAATACAACTTCAGTAGGCTTTGCAGCTTGCACATGAGGTTCCCACCTCAATCACAACAACCGTATGCATTACAAACAATATATACGCAGTTTCATGAACCATGTCCAGTAACAATCATTACAACGCCAAAAAGCAAAAAGAGAGAGAAAAAATTTTTTGTCTAAAACGAGAGGAAGACATACCTTGATGGTCGCGACGAGTCCCAACCTGAAAAATCATCGACAACATCAGCCAATTCCTCAATCGCCTCATCCAATAAAAAAAAAATTAGAAACCATCACATTTCACAACAAAAAGATATTATCTTTTTTTTCTTTCAAATTTTACAAAGCATGGGAATAAGAATCAATGACGAAGGCACATTAGCGTAGCGACTCGTCATAACGAAGCGACGATCGCGAGTCTTGACGACATTTAGGGTTGTCGATTATTAGTTTGTGGTTGAGTGGACAATAATATAAAGGCACGATAACAGTGCGATCTGGAATGGAACCCTAGGAGAGAGGAGTGGACCTGTCGGACATGGTGGCGATGGTCTTGAATGCGAGGATGAGGGCGCGATCGGGGTTGGAGCCGCGGTTCTGCCAGCGGCCGAGGGAGGAGGAGAGGAACTCGCCGGAGCCGCCGTTGGGCTTGGCGATGACAGTGGAAAGGCCGCCGTCGGTGAGGAGGGGATTGGTGGGGCCGCCGACACGGACAGGATCGTTGTCGCCGGACTCGTTGGCGAAGGTACGCCACTCGGAGGTCTCGTCAATGGAGTGAGACTCCAGGACGAGGCCGCACTCCGAGCACACCGTGTCGCCCGCGGAGTGGTCGAACACAACCTCCGTGTGCCTCTTGCAGTCGCTGCAGAACGCGTCTGACATCTTTCTATCTGCTTCGTTCTTTCTTCTCTATCTCTCTCGAGAACGAGATGCAAGGCTAACAAGGGTCTTTGTACGCGGAGTGAGTTTATGCGAGACCCAGCAACCGCAGCGAGAGGAAATTCCTTTGCGTTTTCGGTATTTATAGACGGCTTTAATTCCTTCACGATTTGGAAATTGGAATACTATTATTTAAGGAAATAATAATTTATTTTTTTAAGTTTTTTTCTTATTTTAAAGTTTAATTACCTTTTTGATGGAAAAAGTAATGGAGGACCATCTACAAACAATTCACAATTGAAGACCATTTGATATTTTAATTAGGTTCATGGTTAAGAGCGGATCTACTTACATTATAGTGGGGGCACTTGCCCCACTATTATTTTACACATACACAAATTTTTTTATCTAAAAAATAATATATTTTAAAAAATAAAAATTATATTCTAATAATATATATATATATATTAAAATTATCGTATGTATAAAATATAAATTTCGAGAAGTTATTCATTTATTTGATATTTGTCAAACTTTTGTACTTTCTATTTATTGTTTATGTTGATAAAAAAAATT